TCATTCTGAGACTAAACCGGAGAAACGGGAAGTTACAGTTTTCCGTTAGTACCAATGAGATGTAGTCACCCTATATCGTTTAGGGTGGTTCAATTTTCCCATATTCATACGAGTTGGCCTTACATTACATTCATTTTCACATGGTCTTGCTTTCCCAAAAGGCATTCTCATCCCGACCGGAGTGGACTACAGTTTCGACCCCGCCTGAACTCGTCTCCTCAACACCACAAGCGGGACTCGAACCATGAAAGTACATCGTATCATCTTCACTCCTCTCCCTCTATGCCAGACTACTACGAGTGCCCTTGGGTCACAGGACATATGTGAACCACATCACATTCTGCGATGAGATGATCGATGTATCAAAGTTGTATTTTGCTATAGCAATCGATTAGATTATTTATTTTTCGTTGTTTAAGTAAGCTGTCGAGTCTGCCAGAAGAAGAAATATATGAGATGTATTCACCCTGCTTCGTCTAAGGTAGTTGAATTTCCCCACAATCATATGAATATACCTTATGCTACGTGTCGACGTTATACTCTGCACCGTCATGGTTCGAGTCCCGCCGGGGGTGCGAATGAGGCAGAGGCGAGACGCGGTGGAAATCGCAGACTACTTCAGCCGGGACGAGAATACCTATTTTTTCTACTCATTAGATTGTGGGAAAACTCGTCCATTCTAAACGAAATTAAGTAAATACATCTTAGTTACGCCAAGGTACACTTTTATGTTTCAATCCTCTTGGTTCCCAGACCACCATAAATTAAGGCCTCTTTTGGCCGAAAAGAGGGCCAACCCAGACTCAACCGGGGCTGTACGATCAACCAACGGGCTGCCACGGAGCCTCGGTCGAGCCGCATGTCCGAGTGAAGATGTGGCGAGACTCGAGCCAGTGATCGCCACTCAGAACGGGGCACTTTGGCCTCTGGGACCGGTTATTTGTCGGCAAGTTTTGTGGAGCTCGGAAAAGCCGTCTCACTTCGCTGGTTGTAGTTTGCATGTTCGAAGTGCAATTGGGTCTTGTTGGGGTTAAGGGTTTTTGCGTATGTCGGGCTCAACCGAAGAGGACGCTCTACAGTCGTTTGACTTTCCATGCTTTTCGATTAACGTAGTCCAGGTTACCTCATCCTCATTCCGTTCGGGCAAAAACGGACTGACTTTTCGTCTGGCATGCTCAATAGACGGGAAAATGATCAGAGCTGGATCTGATTTTCGCGAAAACTACAAAAAAACACCGAGTTCACAAGAACAATTATCTCTTCTTCACACGATATAGCTAGTCACAAAAGCAGCTACCACAAAAACAACTAAGGCGAAAGGGAGTAAACATATTCATATGGAGGATGTAGCATGAGAGGGTTGATCTGTTTTCACGTCATTTTGGATGCCGGTACGCTTTCGTGTGAGTTGAGTTTCAGTGTGTAAGTCTGCGAGAATGCAGCATGTTCAGACTGTTTTGCGCTGCATATTTTCCGCAATTTGTTGTCTTAACCTCTTACCGTGTGGACAAACCACGGTTTGGATCGAGGTTCACCACAACATTCTGTCATGCTTTGACGGTTGTGACACGACTTTCGATTTTGAAGGACTTCGCGATCTGGTCTTACCGGAGACTGAAGGAGATTTGACGACTGTCTCATTGTGTGCATAAGTCCTAGACTCATCGTCATGACACCCTTCGATAAGACTGTGCTAAGCCTTCGTCTGTACCGCTGTGATAGGTGTCATCAGAGCAAAAATGCACACTTTACGGAATAGTGCAAGAGAGCAAGAAAAATGATCGGCTGCGTCCTATCCTTGCATTCGTAACTTTATCTTGGTTCAGTACATTTTTTTCTATATTTCGTAAAGTATGTGCATTCTCCGACAGTCGTCAATCCTCCCTCGGTTCCCGATGAGACCACATCACGAATTCATTCCGACCAACTTTTAATTGGAAAGGGAATGTTATGTCCCAATGGATGACTAAGAAATTCTTCAAAACCCAGTTTTTTGCATACCTTGACGATAATCGTGAAATTTCCTCAACTATCCAAACGTCACTTGTGCATTTCAGTCCATTGAAATGTGTGGCTCTCAGTTTGATCCTGTTGGATTATGCGCCAACCCAGGGCGTTCGTTCCATCAAGCTGAGGCTGTTGAAAAACACGATCCCGTTAGTTGCGAGGGGACTTGATCTGGTCTCGCATTCGCTCCAGTATGGATCACTATAGGCATATTATAATCCATAAATACAGGTGTTGGCAGGCCCGATATCAGGCAAATTGCTGAAGCATTCAAAGTAAGCATTCCTGACGGGGTGAGGGCAGCAGAAGTGGTACTTTTCATAGAACAGCGCTATCGTCCTGTTGCGTTCAGACAAAGCACGTGGACTGTCTTCAAAATTTGAAACACTTGTCCCTTACAACTCCAAAGTTAGAGGCCCCGAAACGAAGAGAGAAAAGGAACAGATAGTATTACCGATTGTGCTATTTTGAAATGGCCCAAATACATCATGTGAGAGCTGACATTTAAAGATGGCGCCGAATCGAACACTCCCAACTCCGTAGGTCAAGTCAGCTTCTGATTGGACGATGCGGTGTCAAGCTTTGATTGGACGATGCGGTGCCAAGCTTTGATTGGACGATGCAAAATAGAGAATCATGATTGGTCACGCACGCACGTGGTCTCTGCGCCACAGGATGTTGAGCCATGGCGAAGTGTGGGATTTAACAAAATACAATACAATCGCTTTTGGTTTGAAAAATAATAAACGAAGTTAAACTAATAAGTCGACATACAATTGAGCTATTTCTTCTCTCTTTTGTCTACATAAAGTGGTTGTGGAAGCGGCAATATTCGGCCTCGAAATGACACGACCGACGGCATTCCAGAGGATGAGCTTCTCTCTGCATTTGCGCATAACCTCCGGAATACTACTCATGAGTATTACAAGGAAAAAGCTGATTTAATTAACTCGAATATGCTTTTAAATTTGTTCACTTCACTCTTGTGCAAGCGCATCTGCACGAACAGAGCGGCGGTCCGCCTTACACGAAGCAGCCTTTTTTCGCGGCAAGACGAAGTGAAATGGAATTGCGAGAAAAACTCCATTTTCACCTTCTTATTCAAGAATTAATGATACTTTTATGGTCCATTCGCGGCGAATAACCCTTCAGTCGGCAACTCGTCCTAGGCCTTGGGAAAAGTGCTTTTGCCAACACCATTTCTGACGCTTTGCCATCTCATCGGGAGACTTGTCGAGATCCCAACCTCTTCCTCTTCATTAGCTTTACCAGTTTATCCTTTATCATCATCACCATTTTCATTTTCTTACTCGTCTTCTCTTCTGCTCTATCCCCCTCTCTCTCCTCCTGAGCACCATCAACTTCATTGTCATACTCGCCACCCTCAAACCGACCAGAATCCTTGTCTGCGTTTGCATCCTTTTCTCAGTTGTCAGGTCATTTGGCAGATTCACGCTTTGACATTTTGACGTAAATAAGCACCGGCAACTGTGCCGGTCCCGAGAGAGAGAGAGAGAGAGAGCACAAATGAACTCTACTCGCGTCCAAAAGTGCGTCTCGTCGTGTCGCTTCGTCGCGTCCGTCTCCAAGTCACCCGATGAGGACGTCAGCTCGGGTCAGAGTGTCAAGTCTCAGCCTCCAACTGGCACAGCAACGACTGGACGTGCCAGCAATCGACGAATGGTCGTGCTGTCGAGACAGTCTCATGTCACCCACTTTCCCCTCGACACTTGGCGGCCCGACGAGTGGGCGCGACGTTGACGCGACGTTGATGCGACGGATGATTCGATTGTTGCTGGGCTGACACGACTGCCCACCCGTCGGTCCAACAACCGTCAACCGGAAGGGGAGGCTCGGTCTCTGACGGCGGGACTCGAAGCCAGGACCCTGGCGACGCCTCACAGACGGGGCTCGACTCGCCGATGCCGAGGCCCGTCGAGGGTGGGAGTCGCTTCTTCAAATCAGAGCCCACCTCGTCACTTGGCCTCTTCCGCTTGCATGCGCGATAGGCGTCATGTGATGGATACAGAAAG